CATATACATATATATATATATATATATATATATATATATATATCACAAATAGACAGAAAATGAGTTTAGGGATGAACACAGCCGAGATAATCGAATATTACGCAGTAAAAAATATTTCCATTAGGAATGCTTGCGCACGATTTAAATTGTAGAGGAAGATAGCGAACAACAGAGAAATGAATTCACGAATGAAAAGAAGTATCGAAATTTCCTGCTTTTTCAAAGGGTTTCGCCAGGAGAAAGGAAGTGAGTCGATGAGAATGCTCACAATCAGAATATAAATTCAAGGAAACAAATCTAAAATTGCTAAACATTTCACTGAACAAATCAAAACGCAATAATCATCAATCACTGCTTTCAACCTTAGTAAACAGTTTTCACTGTCATAAATTTCACTTCCTCGTCGAGAAACGATAAGAACAAAAAAGCTCGAAGACAGTGATGAGTATAATAACTGGCTGAATGAATATTATGCAGAGAATAATATCGAAGAAATGCTAAACGACANACAACGACGGTCTAACTTCACTACGACTCTCAGTATACAAAACATATCCTCTAATTACTGACCCAAATTGTGCTGCACAATAACAAAATTCAAAAAATGTCGTCGGATATCATAAACCGTCGTATATATAGATAAAAGAGTAGATATACATACTGCACACTTAGGCGTAGATCATTGACTGAAAAGCTTTTCGAATGAAACAATTTGCTGCATGACCTTTGAATAATAAGAAACTGACGTGAAATAATAAGAGAAGAGAACATACATTAGGATCGCCTGTTGGACTGGATGTCGGCGATGAGGAAGGTGGGCGCTTAAGAGCACTACGAGGTAAATTCACGACTGGAGCGTTAACATTAGCAGCAGCGATTGGTGAAGTCGCCCGTCCTTGATTATCATCTGAGTTCCGTTTGCGAGTCGAACTCAACGTTAGCACTGGTGGAGTACTTGGACTCTGAAACTTTATCTATATTGACTTGAATTTTAGTGGAATATCATTCAACTGAGAATAGTTCAAGCCAGAAGTGACATCTACAAATACCAGTGACCATCACTAGTAACACTGGAAAATGTTACAAATCACTCAATTTTTAATTCAGAATCTAGTTCATCTAAAAATTGCCTTCCAAAAATCATGGCAAAATGTCGTCCAATGACTGATTACGAATAAAATATTCTACGAGCATTTGGGCAATCAAGTTATGAACTTTAAAAAAACAACAAAAGAAACGCAAATCAAAAGAAATCGCAAAACTCTCGAACTACTAATATGGACATTGAATATGACGACGTTCATCTGAACAAAAAGACATGTTTCGTCGTGTCACAGCTTAATGAATTCAGAAATGTTATCAGAAATAATAATGAATCCTTCGTTAATTCCCCCTTCAACATTAATTTTGAATGTGATGATTCATTCGCACTCCGATTTGATGAGTCTCGAAATTCGTTTATTTTGAGACTTGTTCAGCCGTCAATAATCCAAACTCTATCGATATGTAAAAGTAACAGAATTGAAAATGATTAAGACGAGTGCTTTGACAGACTGTAACTTGGCTCAAAAACAAATGAACAAACCTGATCAAAAAATCTGCAAGGAAAACAACATTTTAAAGGTCTTCGGCCAAAAAACGATGACGATGAACGTTTTTTGCTAGATTTTAGCATGTGCGATTGAACAATTTCAACACTTAACTTATCAGTGAATAATGGAGTGATAATAATGAGAAATTTGCTGAATTGGTAAATTTCAAGGAGAATAATCAATGTGATTGAAGATGTATGTTGAATGGAGTGATAATTACGGGCAAATAGTGAACTGTTCAGATGGACGAATCAATAAATGGATGCAGCAAGTGAATTTGAGTGCAAAATAATTGAATCAGGCTCAGACTTAAGTAACACCAAGAATATGGACATTTGAAGTAGAAGAAGAAGACTAGTCAGTTTCTGATGAGATGGATTCCTTTGAGTCGTTCGCCTCTCTCAAATGCAATCCTTTTCTGTCTGCCCAACCCTCTTTAAAATCAAAAAGTTGATCGAAACGACGCGACTTATTCGTTTTTGCTACACACAGCAATCCACCGCAATTGTAAATATCGCGTTTTGATAAGGCGAGATTTGAAGTAACGCATCGAAGAACAATGCACTTTTGCACCGCGATCTTTATTTGATTGCACTGAGATGATGAAATGAATTCGAACAGAACAAATACGGATCATTTAAGTGCGCATTCGAGTTAATTTGATGTGCGCTTAATAATTAATTCATGAAGTAATATCGTTTCAAAGGGAATTCATTATTTTTTTAAGTTTTGTTTTTACATGTTAATTCCATCGAGAGTACTGGTTCAGTATGCATAACTGACCTTCAAAGGTCGATCAATGAAAGCGTTTCGAAACGTCTTAGAATGTTAATGGAATGACTAAGATGCAAACAATCAAAACGCTTGGCAAGAGAACAGAATTTCGAACCGTTTAAAAAATTCCAAAAATTCGCGATATTGTCGAAAAGAAATTGAACATTCATCGCAATATGCACTGCTAAATCGTTAAGATGATGAAGTTTTATAATGTAAACCAGGGTCCCCAAAGGATGGGGATCACCTATTTTCGGGTAATTTGAGTGCGTTAGAGGGACAATGGAGGAGGACGGGAAATGAGCTCTGATGTTATGTGTGGAATTATTAAATTATTGTAGTGGGCTGGGGGTAATGATGGTCTGCCAGACTATCGAAGGTGGTAATGGATCATCCATACATGGGGACCACTGGTGTAAACTATTTGGCGGACGTTCAGAACGCGAAGGTTGCAGTCGAAATGCCTTCTCATCATGATGAACAACATATTTGTGGTTTTGACTGTACTCTAATGCATGAATAATGTAATTTGTATTTGTCGCTATCTTTAGTTGTTTACTGAATGACACAAGATTCATCTTTATGGCGAATCGAATCATTGAATCCATTATCTCGACTAAAACGTTTCTAAGCCTACTCAAAGGTCACTCTCTTACAAAACGATTCATTTTATTGAAGATCAAAGAGACTGAAATATCGAGTGAACTGAACAATTCGGACAATCACCTGATAATTTGATAAGTCATAAGCAAATAATTTCCTAACATACTGACTACGAGGGTATAGGTCCAAAGAAACGATTAAGCTATTCTCTATGAGTATCACACATTTCAATCGTTAATTCAATCACTGCTTCAGCAGTTTTACATATGGAACGTTTGGCTGCTTGAAATTCGCTCCGAGTGGTAAATTAGAGATAAGCATTATGTCTCATGGCAATAAAACAAATGGCGAACATTGACACTGCCTGTGAACACATCAATAACCGTCAGTGAATTATATTCATGAATGAATACTCCTCAGTTTGACTGATGCTATCAAATGATTGAATTCAACAAAAACATTCTGAAAATCGATCGAAAAAAGGACAAACATGGAATCAATGAAATCGAGCGATAAGTACAACAAACTAACATCATCATCGTGATGGATGATGTGACCGTCGATAGACTGTTTCTTGAATTTAGGCGCATGTGCATGTGGTTTCGGATGTGGTGTATCCTGACGAGAGAACTGTCCAATCTGACCTTCTTGTCCCTCCTCTTCCTCATCCAAATCACCACCGAAATGTACTTTTGGACCACCAACAAACGAACGATTTGTTGGGATTCGTTCAACTATAATGTGCATGATATGATATGATATCAACTATAAGTGAACATGCCACACAACATCACATCAACCGAACAATTAAAGAGACAAACAAAACAGCCTACTCTGATGCGATGTGCTCTGTGGTAACAAATAACACGTTAATACTTTAATTCCAGTTCGTGGATCTTGCTCGGTTACCAGTTTCAACATCGCTTGAGACTGCAAATCACTTCTGTATTCAACTGCTCACAGTCTGATACCATCGTTTTTTAAAATTATTTGTTAAAAAATTATTTTCGTCACGTTTGTCCGGTTGTCTTGCTCTTTAACAACCGCACATTAGCTTGTGTCAAATTAACCGAGAACTTCATGTGTCAAAATTCGTTCAAACGCAAATTCCTTCCAAGTTCTTACTGAAGTTAACCATGGGAATGTTGGCAGAAATTGATTTTTATAGCGTATATCGTATGTGATTTAACGATAAACTAAGAAATTAAAAAGGAAAGTGTCAACTGATTACTTGGTTTTCGGATAGCCATAAAGCTTGAAGATTGAAGAGGACGTTGAGGGTGAACGGAAGGAAATTGAGTCGATTATTGCAAACATCCAAAACTTTCAAATTTTCTAAGCGACCAATTTCGAGAGGTAATTGCTCCAATAAGTTATCCCTTAGCGATAACACTGTTAACGACGTACATCCGCCAATCTGCAAATATCATGTTATCACTCTTTTCAGTTCTAATTTATTCAATTAACTGAAAACAAAAAGTGGTTTCATCAATAAAGTCGATCAAACCGGATTCAAGCAAAAATTTATTGAAATTCTCTAACTATAAGAATGCTAAAACAAAATTCTCACAAAGTTCAACCTATGCAAATGTTTTGTGAAAAAGATGAGAAAATATTGGCTTGTTCTATTCAAGGAGAAATATTGCAGTTGATGAAAATGACTATCAATATTACGTGATAGCTACTGAAATCAGCAAGACATATATCGCTATTAACTGATGCAGTGTTCATTGATTCACATTATATAAAGGAAGACGGAAAA